AAGCCTGACGCGAAAAATCTATTGTTACTTATATTTTTTACAGGAACATCCACATATTTGCGTGCGCTGTGGTAAAAAGTTCAAAGATAGAAGTAACTTTTTGAAACATACAAGAATACACGACAGGAAAGACAAGCTTGCAGATGGAAACCCATTGCGTGAAACTGTTCAAGGGGATGACAGATGTATAGAGAATGACACCAAAACTAGGGAAATCCCAAATTCTATAAACACTGATCATAGAAATGGTGAGTTCTTTGACTATATTCTCTTGGAAAACCCTAAAAAATCGTTGCCTCTGATTTTCCGTTACACGGTAACAGATGTTTAAAGTTTCTATTTGCGTTTAGCATTATCGTATTCAACCTGAAGATATGTACTATATTCCGGCGTCCCGAAACATCGTGGTGACATCTATGAGACCAGAAGAACACAAAAATACATTTAGAAATCTACATTAAAAAAGTGTTTATTGAATTAATTATGCTCCGAATAGAGTAGAGTTGCTCACCTTTCATTCGTGGTCCACCGAGACCAGGCTGAAGAGTTGCTAAATAATATGAAACAGCTGTCCATAGTTGACCGTCTGTGGTCGGACGAACGAAAAGTTAGTATTTCTACTACAGTCTCTATACGGCGCTAGGATCGACAATTCTTTTTTTTTTTTCGCCTCTAACGTCTATTTCAATTGGATAGATATTAATTAACGTATTCCACCTGAAGATAGTCAATTAAAACAGGCATTAGAAAGAGTGATTGAAGGTCCTAGCGCCGTCTTTGAGACAGTAGCAGAACAAACCACTACCTTTTTTCATAATGGATTTTTAATTCATTTTAGTGTTATACACCGGACTCATTGATGGCGCTAGGTTTCTTATCAAATTTCTGGCACTGAAATACAGCATATAGGCTTATGTTCAGATAAATACCACTTTTTTTGACATTCGAGAAACTTCACCTATTTTGTACCAGTGATCGTCTGGATCAAGTTTATGGCACAAAGTTGACATGACTCATTTTTTCTAGCTTCGGTTCTCCGAATAACACAAGTAGTAGATGAGCAAGGCCTCCCTATAAGTATCAAGACGCAGGATGGCCTGTCAATACCGATTGTTACAGGCAATGATGGAAATCGCGTTCACGGACTTTTGCCAGATGGTACACTGGTACCGATAGAACTGAACGATTTGGAGGATAAGAACATAGAGGTATGACTTTTAGCAACTTTGCAACTGGCAGGCACTTTAAAATTCTATGTATGAGTGTCCATCAGCTTTGGTCAATAGTAACTTGATGTTTTATCAGTATTTGGCATACACTTGGAACTTAGATTAATTTGATTTCCAGGAAATTGTGATCAATAACTCTGAAGAACCCACCCTTGAAGGTCCAATCAGCATTCTTACAGGAGATCTGGACCAACAACCACTAAATACCAATATTCAAACTGATGACAATGAACATGGTCAAGAAGGTGCTTCTTAACATATTCTGTAGACAGTTGGCAACTAATGAAATCAACCAGCCCTTGACACTAGAGTCTTTTTGTCCACTAGTAATAGAAATAAATAAGATATAGAGGTTATATTTGTTGTAATGCTGAATGAGATATGTAAGACCAAATAAAGACTACACATTTTATCAAGTTATTTTTAATGTGTAAAATGCAAAAAAGATAATTTCTGCTGATAACATGACACTTGGATATTTTTTGTATGATCTATTACATACGTCTTTTTTGACATTCAGACAATTTCAATTTTTTTACTATAAACATTGCAAAAAGTGTTTAAACTAGAAGAAGGACTTTTCTTATTAGTGTCTTTCAACAATGACCCTAACTTTGCTTAAATTTTTCTTCTTTTTCTTCTTTGCTTCCTTTGTTTCAATCATTTTTTTATTGAGTTTCTTTTTTATCTTACCCTCAGTACATTCTTCTTAATTGGAGGTAACCTGGGTGAATCTTTTAATATAGACCTTTTACTGATGATACTCTTATGACTATTTTTAGGTGTTGAAGATGAGCTTTTTGAAGCACAGATTTTTTACTTCTGAAGTGTTAGTAATATTAACTTTTTTAGGAGTTTGGCAAAACTATCCTCGATGACAATAACAGACTTATTCTGACTGGATTCCCTAATACTGTCATCTAGAACAATGACAGAATCTTGTCTCTTGGACACAAAGTTTCGCAGTACCTCTTGATTCAAACCTGCTGACTTATCTTTCGTTTCTTCTTTTTCTTTGGAGTGATAAGTGAAATTGTCTTCTCCTTTACTGGTTTCTGCAGTTGAATAGAGGCTTGTTTATCACAAAATTTGCACTTTATAATCTGCAAAGTAGGAAACATTTATTAGATTGCCAAAGATACTCTATTAATGCACGTAGGCTTTTAACTCTATTGTATTACCAACATGTTTCCCTCATGATACTTGAAATTTCTTAAAAAATCTTCTTTGATATGCTGTCAATGGTTTACCTTTCTGTTCTTTTGACTTTATTTTCTAGCAAAACCTTTGCCAGTTTCTGGGCTTTTTTTTATACTGTACTTTGCTGGTCCATCTTGAAAATTTAGCAAGCACCTTTGGCATTTACTGATGCCTTGTCATATTAGGTGGTAGGAGGATACCTGTTCTAGTTCCATCAGCCTGCTTTTTGTGCTTGTAACAATATTGAGATAGTTTATCAAAATTAATTCAACCTGTGTGAAATTAGTCAATTCATCCAGGCATTCACCAGCCATTTTGTGTACCAACTACTAACTTGTTAATGACTGAATCATATTTTTAGCTGATGCCTAGCATCAGGACCGTTTTTAAAAAGTTTAGTTTCAGAAACATTTGGAAAGAGGTAGGCAGATTTTCAAAGAAGCTAACAGCATTGTTGAAGAAAATAGAATACATCATTTATATACCGTATTTTACGAGTATCCATCATGCTTTGACATCCACTGAGGTAAACAGCTGATTAGCAAGAGACATTTTAGTGTTAGTCTGCAACATTGGCGATAACGAATCTGGTGTAAATCTACCAAAACTTGTTGTAGCATTTTGTTTTTTGTATGCAAATGACCTTTTCTAAATAAAGAGATTTTAGCAAGTACTAAATGAATCTGTAAGCTCACAAAAAACCCAAACAAGATATGGCTATGTCTACCTGGCACTGATAGATCTATCAGAATGTTTCCTTTGCTGATATGGAAATTTGAAATATTAATGGATAATCAGCTGTCATTCTACTGTAATGGATACTCGTAAAAAATGTAGGCGTAGACACTGATTATTTTTTCCTACCTGACATACAGGTGGTTTATACCCCCCAGAAATTGGCTGCTAACTTCAGGCAAATGCCCTGATGAATTGTCTGCTAACATCACACCAGTCATTATTTAAGTTTATGGAATAATATTGCATGAAAAACCCCATCACCAATACAAACATTACCAGATCACAGAATAACCCACTGAAAGGGAAATATTTGGAATTCGAGGTTAGCCTTCAAAAATATCAGGATGGTATTAAACATATAGCAAACTTTGCTAATACTTACTTGAAAATTGTCTTTAGAGCGGGTACTTTCAGAAAGGATGAAATTCGGTGTGTAGATATTTCAATAGAGTTTTGAAATATTTTTCGTTCATCTGGAACATTCGAGTCTTCGTTGGGCTCCATTTTTCACTGCAAAATAAATTCACACACACGTTAGCAATTATTAGCTAATTTAAAAGAAGTCTAGTTAACGGAACTGAAGTGTAATTTAAATTCTGGGTAGAAAAGAGAAAATTCAAAATTTTACAACTTTAGAAGTTCGACGTGACGTTTGACCTTGACGTCTTGCTTTCAGTTGATACTAGGTTGTCAAATAATACATAAATATCAAAATTCTGTGAAATGATCCAATAACAAACGAGAAGAAAACTAGAAATTACCATACAACGTTATTCATTTACCAACAATTCTTTTTCTGCAGTCGCCAAGAAAATATGTTTTATCATTTTGTATTGTCAATCCTTGTTTGTTTTTAAATTACACGCCACACTCCTCTGTAGGTATATCGTGACTAACTGCTATAAACACTTGGGTCTGTGCGACTGGCAACAGCGCCCAGATGATTTCTGTCATTGATCTGTCACCGTCATCCTGAAGGGTGACTGTCATTTTATCAACAAATTCACAATATAAAATCACAACTCAGTTTTCATAATTTCTCTTAAAAAATGGGTAAGTTTGTTCTTATAACTGTATAAATGTGTAAGTACTGCAACATACTGTTTATTTAGCGTTCAAGATGGATTACAGTTTTGAGGGGGACTCAAAAACCCGACCAGAACAAAATTTGTCAGGTGCAAGCAAAAAGATCACCAGAGACGTACTTTTACAAAAGACATACGAAGAAGGAGAAAGAGACAGGTAGGTGCTTAGCAGTACCCAAATATCGACTCTAAATATTTCTATCGGCTTAAGAAACCACATTAATAAATTATATAGATTTGCTTAGAATACCCTGTTTTTTGTTGTACCCTTCACAAAAACAGATCATTGTCTATTTCCAGAATATTAGGCCTCAAATATTATTATATAATTAGTACTTGCTATTTCACATATAGTCAGGCATTATGTGACAAATAATAGTCTAATGGCTTTTTATGTTTTAAATAAATTTTTCTGCATCATACATTTATGTTCAGAAGATCATTGTGTTATTTTAGGAACAGAGAGTGAAATTACAAATTGCACAACTACTGCAGTCACACATTCGCAGCTATCTGTCAGGAAGCATAGTAAACAAGAACAGCGACAACATTATGATTGTATGGAAATTCTACTATGATCAAAGAAGCATTATCAAGATTACTTTTTTTTTACCACCCTTCAGAGGAAAACAAAGAATGGTGAAGTATAATAGCACAGTTATATTAGGATGTGTTTCTGGAGTTATTTTTTTTACGATAATAAAAACTCAATTTTAGATGAACATGATGGATAAATTCAATAGTAAACCATACAGAAATTTTGAAACAAATAGAACACGATCAGTCATTAATGTGGTTGGTGAAAAGATTTTTGGCAGTATGTCTAAAAAATTTGATGATCTATAACAACATTGAAAAGGATGCCTTTATTTCTGTATTGAATAAGTTTTCTAATAACCCAAACACAGTAGAGTATCTACTTACAAAAGGTGAGCATCTAATCCTTTTTCTCTCATTCAGAATTCTGCACAAATGTTTTTAGTTATTATGGATACCTGAGAAGCTATCTTGAATACACAAAGGACCAAGCATTATCAGAAGCAGTAGAACTGATACACAGGAACTTTTGTCTACATTAACAGCAATTCATCACTGAATGATTTAGCTTTATCAGAGTTTTGGCAAACCTTCTTAAATCATCTGTTACTCCAAATTTTGAAGATATTGATATCACATATTCGTAGTAAAAGTGATTTTCCATTTAACAGAATATTGAAATATCTTAATAGTTGGTCCTTCATAGAGGGAGGGAATAGTTTGTTGTTGTGTGCTGACTTTGGAACCTGACAGCTATGGTAAGTATAGAGTCAAGTTTTAAAATTTTCAGTCTTACAAAAAAGTGTGCAAGAATAATATTTTGTAAACGTTCAATCTGTAATTCTATTGTCAGGATTTATGATGCATTAATAATAATATTGATTGCCATCTTTATTCACTACAAATACAAAAATATTGTTATGCTTATGGAGAACTTATTTAATGAAATAAACCTATTTGTAACAGATGACAGTAGTATGGAGAGATACAACAAAATTTTCAAATACAATACAATGAAGTAATAAAACAATATTCCTTTAAAACAATGAGGTATTCCAACTAAAACTTATATATTATGATGCATATAACACCTCCCATACTGCAGTCAAGTGAATGATGAATTTGACATGAGCAAACTAATTTTGTGGTGAAATACCAAATAGGAATATTGTTTGTAAATTTTTGATATCATATACAATAGCAGCATTAACATATATGAAAAATTACATTCAAATAATGATGCACTTGGAATATAAAAAACTTGCGATGTTGTGTGGAGTAACCATGCTCCCTTTCCATGGTCTAGTTATAACAAAATAAATATTAATAAATATTAAATGCTTCCAGAACCAAATTATGACAGTGTCCAAGTCTTATCAAAGCTTAGCATGAAATTGCATAACCTCAGACCTGCTGAGCACCATGAAAATGAAGACAGTGATGATGAGGAGGAAATGGAACAAGATTGGGAATTGTCTGATTACTTAATAATGTTCAATAAACCTGACAGAGTGAGAAAACTGCTGCATTTCTTGCATAGAAACAGCACTGATCAAGTTTTGACATCTTTCACACAGCTTTGTCATAATTTGTTGTTGGTCTATAAGGATTCTATGAGAAAGTATTTGTAAGTTTAACGGAATACAACTATGAGTCATCTCGGACATATGTTAGACTGTTTTTTATCTTCGATCTTGAGAGGAAAACCTGAATAACAAAGAACTCCTCACATGAACTACTAGAAGCAAGCTGACTGTTGCATTGATCAATGCATAATTATAGAAATTTTACAGTGTACAGTGTTGTCACAACACTTCCAGATACACTGAGACTCAGATTTTCTCTTCAACCTGGAAGGTTAAAAAATAGTGTAAACTCTGATAACACATACAGGGTGTTTCAGAAATCGAGCCAATATTTCTAGGCTAGAAGGTATATCCAAAAATAACAAAAACAGTCTCTACAAATATGGGTCCAAAGATGCTCTCCACTGAGGTACAGGGTGATGAAGTTTTATTTACAAAATTTAAGAAAAATATATATCTATGGATCATCAGCAATAAGCACTCTAAAGTTTCCCGGCCCAAACCGGACCAAACTAAACCAGGGACATAGAAACTGGGGTTACCTAGACCCCTATTAGGAAATATTTTCTGCGCCACTGGCATTTTATAAAACACCATACAATTTTCCATAAATTTTGTCCCTTAAGGAAGTTTTGCCACATCCTTTAGGTTTGAATATTTGAGGTAAAATCCTAAAATGTTATCATGAAAAGGCTTAGTCTCTTCTATTCTGAAAACACTGTGATGCTTAATATTGGAAGCAGTGTGCGGCATGCAAAAGAAGGTATGGAACCTCATTAGAAGAAAGCTATGGCACATTACAACATTAATTGAATAATATTCACTAAACCTTTTCTATGCACACCTCTAGTTTTCATGGTATACTTATCCTGGCATTAGGAGGTGGCCACTTTCAACACCTCCTTTAGCTTGGATATTAAATTTATTCAGCATTATTTTTTATTAGGTACCAGTGTTATGCCCTCAAATTTAGAAATAGCCAGTGTAACTTGTATCATATGTAAAGTTTATTGTTGTCGTGTTTAATTCTTATTAGCTTTATTTAATTTGAAATAGACGTTTTCTTTGTTTTGAAGTTTCTTTATCTATAAGCAAAAATGAATATGCTGGCAAAACCAGTAGCATGCGCACAAAAGGTTTAATGAATAGTAAACTTCTACTGATTGAAGGTAAGGCACGCATATTATTCAATTCATGTTGTAATGAGGTAACATAGCTTTTTCCACATGCCATTTAGTGTTTACAATATCAAGCTTCACTGTGTTTTCTGAATAAGGGAGGCTAAACCTTTTCATATGAATGTTTTAGGATTGTACTTCAAATATTCAAACCTAAATATCTCCAAAACAAGTGAACTGAACTGACAAAAATTCCTTAAGAGACAAAATTTATAGAAAATGGAATGGTATAAAATACAGTTCTTTTATCCGAAAAGGCCAGTGGTGTAGAAAATATTACCTACTAGGGGTCCAGGTACACCAGTTTCTATGTCCCTGGTTTAGTTTGGTCCGGAAAATGCTGAGTGTTTATTGCTTATTATGTGTATCTTTATCTGCTCCGTAGGTATAATATTTTTTTCAAATTAGTAAATAAAACTTTATCACCATGTATCTCGGTAGGAGGGCATCTTTGGATCTATATTTATAAGGACTTTCTTGTTATTTTTGGATGTACTTTCTACCCTAGAAATATTGGCACGTTTTTCTGAAACGCTCTGTATAGGTACAGAGGGAAATGCTATCATGTGAAGTTTGAAATAGTGTAATTATATATTGAGAATAAATTGTTGTTTTTTTTTTCAGATTATTATATCGACTAGGATTGAGCGGCAAATTCATCAACATGTTATGGAAAAATATTTCCAATAATTTATGTGAGCAGCTAGAAATGAAGGGGGCATGCTTGAACTCATGGAGTGAGTGTCATACGACACTTTCTGTATTTTGTGATATGTTTACGTTTTTTATTGAAACTTTGACTGATAGAGGTTGGTACCACCAGTTGAAAGCCATTTACTTGGAAGTTTCAATGTGATATAATCAAGTAGCAAAAAAAGAGAGTAGCATAACTTATTGTATGTCACTGCTAATGCAAAGACACATCTTGAAGAACAATGTGTTACTGTTTTTGATTTTAATACTTGATTATAGTGAGGGATAACGTCATTTATTCGTTTTCGTTTTTAGAAAATGTGGACCTGGGTGATGCGTTTCTACAAAATGACCTCTACAATATGTCCAAGTTATTGAAAAAAGTTGCAAAAGACTTGATTGAAGTCGCATTTCCGATGTGCAGATCAAGTACAGTATGTATATGAATTCTCTTTTTTGAAACAATTAATTTATTTGAACATCTCGTCAATACAACAAATTTTATTTTTTTAGATTACAGCAACGCCGGAAGTTCTACACCTGTACAAAACATGTTTAAATTGTGTAAGGGTGTTATATAATTTAGATACAAGAAAACATTTTTGTCCAGCAGGTTTCTGGACAGCCGAAAAAATTCATGTGTCACCAGATCTTTGTAGAAAAGATCTTTCAAGAACTATATTGCCATTTCACGGACTCGTATACGACGATAATGGTACGTTGTAACTATAGAATATTTATTATTAATACTTTAATTAAAGTCAGGTTTACACGAGTCTTTAATACTTATAGTCATAAGCATAACATAATCATAGTCACAGTTACAAGGGCAGGGCGTTTGAAAGATGATGAAGCATTCAGAAAATAAATTTAAGGGATTCAACCTTACTTTTTGTTGTGCCTAATATAGGAAAAGAACGCGGCGCACAAAGTTGTTTTAAATAATTTATTGAGCAGTTAAACAATAAACAAAATAATAATGTTGTAACACCCTGTATAGTGCGGAAGCACAGAGTTCTACCAAAAGCGATTTACTTACACTGTTGGTGATATGTATTGAAAAATTATCTTGCCTAAATGCTTGTTGGCAAATGATAATTTTCATGACTCTGTAGTTTGACGTGTGACATTCGTGAAGTCAGATTAATGAAGCTTAACCACCCCTGAGCAAAATTCCTCCATATGCCAGGGGAATCAGGTAAGGTACGCATCAAACAATTATCGACAGAGCTACATTGTTTTGGGTTTTTTGTACGCTACAGATTCATGTTGTACTTGATAAAAGTTCATTTGCATACAAAAAACAAACCAATTTTTATAGATTTACACCCGATTAATTATTGCCAACGTCGCAGACTAACACAAAAATTACACTTTCTTATCAGCTGTTTACCTCAGTAGACGTCAAAGCGTGATGGATACTCGTGAAATAGGGTATAGTTGTCAAGTAGTAGGATAGGTGACAGTTTTGACATAAAGATTAGGTAAAATGACGTTTCAGTCATGAGCAAAATCAACTCTTATGCTTATGATTACGACTATGATTATTAAAAGGTTGTATAAACACGCCATAATTTAATACTTAATACTAATTAAATAGTCTGTTCTCCTCGGCGTTCACGGGGTTGCTTGGCATTTTGGTGGCGATGTGCGCAGGGGACTTGTCTGGTACATCCAAAATAACAGATAACTGCATGCTTGCTTGTCACTTTGTAATTTAATGATGGCTTCGCGGGATCTCGGCAAGAAGCAGAACCGTTCAGTCTTCAGTGTCTGTTGTTGCAATACACTTCTACATATAAAATATTAAATATATTGTCACTGTCACTTTTTTAACCGGTGCTTGGAAAAAGTCCACTGAGGTGGCCAAAACGTAAAAAGTCAAGCCTACATATGTTTTTTCATTCAATGGCCAGAAAACAAAACTCGGATATGTAGTATTAAATTTGTTGTAGTTTTAGCACCTTATCTTAAACTAATAGCTTAGACTGAACCTTTATTTTAGATGAAAGTCATCTTCCTCCTTTATCAACAATTGAACAAAGATCTTTAGCCATCCTGAAGAACATGCCATTCTTCATCACTTTCAATACAAGGGTGATGTTACTAAGGGATTTGTGTAGATATAGTGTTGATGATGATGATTATCAAAGGATACATACTATGTTCTCGAATGAGAGGGTAATAGTTATCAGAAGGACTCACCTGTATGAAGATGCTTTCAAAAAGATATCCAACAAAAGTGGTAAGATTCATGTTAATTTATGTTCGTCATTTCTAAAGATATGTCATCCTTCATTGAATAGCATTTTTGATATCATGCATGATGTGTTAGTCAAATAATCATGAAGTGAAACTTCTATTGTGGAGCAAAAGTCGATGAAGAAAATGGGTTGTTTCGTTGGAATCTCCTTGAGTTCTAGAGTCATGTTGACATCAGATTCGGAATATGTTCCATGGGTCGAATTTACCAAGGAACTAAGTATTCGTCCAGATCATTGAGTATTTTTCGTACTTCATTAAGTCAAACCTTACAGCAAATAACAGCTGACTGTCTAGTATCAAAATACTCCATATCGACAGGCGTCATAATTTTCACGGATTTGTCAAGACCAGGTCCGTACACCGAGTCGTATTTCGTTGAGCCTTTTCACTTCATATGCGAAAACTGAGGGAGTATTGTATGTTTTTTGGGTGTTGTATGAGTTGTACATCACGAAAAACTCATTTCGATCGGTCTGTCCGCTAAATTTATAACCGGCTATAACTTGAGATGTACCTCTCAGATTGAGTTGAAATTTTCACACAAGGTTACTGCTACGCCAAGGATGGAAATGATTTGTAGTTATTGAAAGGTGTTGGCGGAGAAAAAGACCGAATATTATATATTTATATGCTCCCAACCCCGGTAATGCTATGCAACTATTTGCCAAATTTCACATAATAGATTTACCCATATATTTCCGTTTAAAACTTAGAAGGATAGAGAAATGTTTGCGATCCGCGTACTCGAAAGGGACAACGTTGCCACGTGGTCGCTAACTACCAGTAGATCAGAGAACGAATGTCTATGGACTAATTGTTTGGGCCTTTTTGGCTGACTTAATATTTTTAATTTCTCTGTTCTACATGTCCGTAACTCAGTATTTTCTCAGAGGATTAAGTTGCGCCGAACTTAATCTTTTATGATCTGATGACGGCGTTGCGTAGGAAGTGCAGTCATCTCACTTGACGGCCTTTTTGTATGCTACGGATTCATGTCTTTTAACAGCGCTTTTATGCAGAAAAGTTCCTACGTACAAAAAAAAAAATATACGGAGCTTGCACGAAACGAAATATAACTCGTTGCAGAGTTGCCGCGCATATGTGGAAAGGGACAACGTTGCCACATGGTCGGTAGCCACCAGTAGATTAGGTAAAGAATGTCTGTGATCTAATTGTATGGGCCTGTTTGGCTGACTTAATACTTTTAATACAGTCATCTCACTTGAGGGCTTTTTTGTATGCTACGGATTCATTTTTTTAAGAGCGCTTTCATGCAGTTCCTACGTACAAAAGAAAAATGATACAAGAAATATGTCTGTTTATGATCATTACCATACTTCAAGTCGGCAAACAACAAACCCTTAAGCATTTTTGTCTGTTAACCGTATCTACTTTCTGAATACGGTCCTGAATTCCATGTAAGCGTCATCATTCATTATTGCCAACAGTACAGACTTCAACACAAAGATGTCACTACTTAATTAGGTTTCACCTCAATAGAAGTCAAATCGCAATGAAGTTTTTTGCCGGAACCTCAAAATATAGCGTTTCTAAACAATATTTTTACTCCATTATCTAGTTGCAATAAAATATCCATCAACGTACGGTAAAATTTTTAGTATAGTTCGGATATATTGCTACACATGTTTGACATTTCCGACCTATCTTGGAAGTAATTACCCAAGTGCATCAAAATTATCGATAATTTTTCATGAACGCGTGTTGCCTAAAAACTGCATAAGTTTATTTTCATATTTTGGCGAAAGAGCCCTACTCCGAAGGAAAGGGTAAAATTATGAAGTTTAATTTGGACGCACGGGTGTAATTCGGTAGAATACTTCCGGAGTTGCAAGAATAAAAGTATGTGTTTTTGAAATTCGATATATAAGCATGTGAAGATGACAAATGCACAATTCATCAATCGTAAGTATAATACCTGCCTATAGGGAAATTTTCGATACCTATTAGGCAATTTTCCCTGAACATTTTCCGCTGTCAGCTAACGGGAAATTTTCGCTGTGATTTTGCGATTTGGTGACAATTTTTTATACATGAGGGAAATATTCGTAAAATGCTGTTAGATTGCTGAATTATTGGAATTCTATTTAATATAATGTAAGCATCTATGAGAATTTGTCACAGCTATGTCTGATCTATCCGCAGTAAGTAGGAATCGTTAATCGACTGCGGATTGTTTGAATAGTCTTTATCCCTGCGGAGTTCCCACAGAAAATATTAAGCGGGGTTAGATTGCATCATCTCATAAACCGGCGAACATACTATTACCAGAAATCACGCGAACATCAAGATAACATGTCTGTGGCAAAATCAATGTTTCGCTTACCGTATGATACGTGGACTTATCTTGTTAAAATAATATACTATTAAAGTGCACATTTATGTAACGTTTGCGTCAACATTTACCGTTCCGCCATTGTAATTTTCATGACAAAATAAAAGAACTGACGTAGTATATTTGCACAATTCTGATGCGTTCCTCTAGCGTAAAAAGATCATAAATAAATTCCCGTCTCTCTATATGACATGTGCGCAATATAAAAACACAGAACATCCTTTTTAGAACGAAAGGTCAGTGTAAAAAATTAGTCTATGTAAGTGACTCTATCTCTTGGAGGTGTATGTAACTATATAGGGCGAAAACGTTGGGTGTGTGTCTTAATTATTCTCAAAAGTACTCAACAAATAAATAACGTGTTTTAGTTGCTTATCAAAACTGTATTTGAGATTCTAAGGCAGGATGGAAGAATAGTATCTTCACTTTTCATAACTCCCTCATCTGCAGAAAATTCTTTCACAAATATAATCTTAGCTTTAATTGCCACATTGTTAGGTTAGTGGTTGCCTGTCTCGCTGCTACACATTATCATCTATTGACGAATCAATATTTGTCTGAACCATTCTAAAAATAATTCATTCATAAAATCAATGGGTTAATTATATATGAGGGTAGACAAGTACCTTAACTAAAAGTACTTATCGCATCGTCGAAGTTCGAAATTCTTGAAATTCCAAGCATAGTTGAAGTGAACTCAACATGACGCTTTCATCCGTCCGACCAAAAAGACAGCCAACCATGGAAAACTACTCCGTGCTTCTTGACTACTTATCAGCATGGCCTAGGCTTGCCTCAGGACCCACGAACGAAAGCATCGTAACTATCCTTTATCGAAATAAGACGCCATCTATCAGACCAGAATCGACCTTACGGAAAGCGCATAGCTGCTATTAGTTGGAACTGTTAGGGATCTCATCTCACGTTTAATAACCTGGTCACCACGTGACCCCTAGATGGTTGACGATTCTGGCTGTACAGTAGATATGGTACAATTGCCATTTCGCTTTGCGCTGTCTTATTCCTATAAACCGTACCTCCGGTATAGGCGATAGTTGTGATGCTTTCGTTCATTCGTCAAGAGACCAAACCTCGACCATGTCGATGA